TTACTTTCTTGCCTTATTCTCTCTTGAACGTCATTCTGTAGAGTATGCATTTCTGTTCTGAAAATGTCGGCCACGAAGGTACAGGTTCATCGAGATCGCAGGAGGCTGAGTCTATGGCTCGTCATTCGTCCGTCGTTGCTCACAACAGTCCATGGGAAAAAGCGACCGGGCTGGCCGCTTTGCGTCATGTAGAGATGAGTCTTGTTGACACAGCCCCATTCGATAAGCAGCATTCATACCTTCCATGATCACTTCATGTGGCTCAACCGTCCACAATTAGACGAGTTGAACACCTTGGTATGTCACTTCGTGGAGTGGTTACACGTTTCATGGCGTAGACTCGTCAAGGCATCCAAAGGTCTGGCGAGCAAATTTGTGTGAATTCAGGATCGTTAATGTGTGTGCCTGTGAATGGGGATGCACAAGATCGGCTGAGTGGGTGGAAGGTGTTCCGGTGAAACTCGGAGAACGCAAAATTCTCCGGATGTTGGTCTTTGTTTGCATTTCGTTTGCATTCCGACCAAAAGTGTCTTGATGCCGATGCTGATGCCAATACTGATGTTGATGTTGATATTGATGTTGATGCTTATACTGATGATGATGATGATGATCTTGATGCTTATACTGATGATGATGCTGGTGTTGATACTGATGTTGATGCTGATACTGATCTTGATGATGATACTGACGCTGATGCTTATATTGTTGATGATGATGCTGATGTTGATGCTTATACTGATGTTGATTTTGATACTGATGCTGATGATTATACTGCTGATGATGATGCTGATGTTGATGCTTATACTGATGTTGATGATGATACTGATGCTGATGATTATACTGCTGATGATGATGCTGATGTTGATGCTTATACTGATGATGATGCTGATGTTGATACTGATGTTGATGCTGATACTGATGTTGATGATGATACTGATGTTGATGATGATACTGATGCTGATGATTATACTGCTGATGATGCTGATGCTGATGTTGATGCTTATACTGGTGTTGATGTTGATACTGATGTTGATGAGGATACTGATGGTGATACTGATGTTGATGGTGATACTGATGTTGATACTGATACTGATTTTGATGATGATGCTGATGCTGATGTTGATACTGATGATGATGCTGATGCTGATACTGATGCTGATGTGAGGCGCGAATAGTCGACATGTGAGTGAGTTGGTGCATCGGTAGGCACTTTCGCTTTCAACAAATCAGGCCCATACTCGGTCAAAGTCCAAAGTCAAAGTGAGAGTCTGTTATTTGGTCAAATTGGTCACGTGAAATGTGACCTGAGGAGCAACGAGAGCGTTGAGAGCATCGATAAACACGCAAGTTTACAGAATCGTCTAAGGTCAAAGGTATCACGAGAAACATTCGAAGGTGTTGAATATGAAACTTATCGGAAAATTAATTATTCCAGGTTGGCTAAGATGAGATTTAAGGACTGTCAGTCGAGGTTTCCACACAACCAAATGAATCGGCCTCATGACGTCATTGAATTCCACTTAAGCCTTGACTCCAAAATGTTGGTGAAGAAAAGTTGGTTTTCGAGAAATCGCGTGTTTCATAATTGTTGAGCTCCCTTTCATTTCAAGTGAAAGTGTTGCGTGAAGAGACTCGAAAGTCGGTTCCACCGGACCTTTTCACCGCAATCGAAGGTGACTACCTCGAAAACAGAGTCCGGATGAATTCAAGCGACAGCTGGTCAAGAGAAATCGGCCGTCGTCTTCTGGTGGAACCGAACTTCGAATCTCTTCACGCAAGACACTTTCACTCGAAGTGGACAATTGCAAAACATGTGTCTTATTTCGACTGGACTTTAGTGCAATTTCGGCCTTGCCGCGGAGAGATTCGAGGCACAAGCGAGCTCGAAGCTTCAATCCAATCGAGCTGAGATGTGAAATCTGTTGCTGGGGCGACGTTCGTTTCGCATGAAAGTGCATGAAGAAGAGATTCGTAGCTCGATCTCACCGGAAGAGGACGGACGAATCCGGCTGTACTGCAGCCGTTTGGCTTTTACACGCGATTCATCCGTCCTCTTCTGGTGAGATCAAGCTACCAATCTCTTCTACATGCACTTTCATACGAAATAAAAATCCCCACAAACAATGTCATCACAGAAGAGTCGTCGAAATCCGGTTTGGAGGGGGGGTACGTGAACTTCTCTGGCACCGTGGGCTCTGTACATTTGCTTGCCGGAAGACTCCATAGTCGGGCATACACTAACTTGGCTAATCGAATATTTATTGAAGAATAAATGCTCATTTTGACAATTTCTAAAAGAGAAAATAGGATATTCAATCGGCCTAAGCTGAGGAGTGAAAGAGAGAAGCCGAGTGATGACACGCTTTTCCCATTTGCAAGTCGAGACTACCAACGGGTTAGTGGTTCGAGCTGGAAATGCAGTCCACACGATTCGCGATGAGAATTGCTGTTAGGAGGAGACAAGACGATGTGAACTGGTATGGAAACGCAAAGTCTACTCAAGTGAATGTGTGAAAAGTCAACCAACCAAATCAATCCTCATCTAATCCATTTGGAATACACACTCTTGTGGGAGGAATGAAGTATTCCCACACGAGCTGTAAGAGGCCTTGCAGAACCGGTTCTCGAGACCACCAACCAATCAGATGTTCTGAGATGTGATCATTCTACGTCATTTAAGATGACGACACACAATCCGATGAATAGACCTTAAGTGTACATTCAACTTCACATGACCGCGCTTTGCAAAATGATATTCTCATCCCCTACGGGACTCGAAGCTTGGTCTCGATAATGCAGCTACATCACCATAACACCATGACAGGAGAGATGTGAATTTCAAGGAAGTCCAGGCATTTTCCCATATCACATGCTGTGGATGGGGGGGGGAGGGTTGTCGATGTAGGAAAGTGGTATCTGCTAGTTTTCGTTTATGGATAGGGTTTCGAGACGACTGGTAGAGCATAACCGTGCGATATATTCATCTCATTTTGTGTAGGACGCTAAGAAGATTGGTCGGTGCATTTCCCCACAATCCTGTTAGTAGGTTTTGTGTTTCCAGTCATTTTCTCAACCTTTTTGGTCAGAAAGGCTGTGTAAAGTTTGCTGTAAAGGTAAGGTCCAGTCATACGATGTTGGGAAAATTGAACTTACGATCCTTCATCACCTCAATCGAAATAGGGTTAAAACATCTCAGGTACTTGATTTCACACAACCTTTCTTCACAAAAGGTACTCTCCGCCCGGCAGGAAGGAGCGGACTGTACTTTCAACCTTGCTCACAGTGGGACCCGAACCCGGATTGTGATAATGTAGCATACAGTTTCTACACGTCGGAAAATGTAATTGTGAGAATTACTCATTTATATGATTGTGGGCAAATTCAACTATCAATCTTTCTTTTTTTCGCATTTAATTATTGGTTCGAGGCTACCAGTAAATCAGTAGTATGAGATGTATTCACCCAATTTCGTTTAAAGTAACGCAGTCGATTGTTATAGCAAATATACGCTTGTTTCATCTACAATCACACCAAAAGGCTTGGCCTTGCTTGAAATGCACATTTGCTGTGTGACCCAAGTGCACTGGTGGCAATGTGACCGAGTGTGACATGCTTCACTGTCACGGTTCGACTCCCGCCGAGGGTGTGGACAAGACCAGTTGATGTGAGGTGGAAACTGCAGTCCACCCCAGCCGGGATGACAACCACCTTTGGGAAAGGAAGGCTGTGTGAAGTTCAATTGAAGCATCAACTCTGCTCATGTGATTGTGGGAAAATTCTTCTTCTACCATTCCTTCATCGCCTTACACGAAATTGTGTGAATACATCTCAGACCCATTATAAAAGGGGATTTCCGAGTGAACTGGCTTGCCTTGTTTGTTGCTTCTGTACTGTCACATGCTGGCATCCGTGAACCTGTTGTAGAGTGGAAAAGGTCTCTGCAATACCCACAACTCGGTCTCGAGTCGTGCGGTTGATGCTAAAAAGATGTATGCCGTATTTTGGAGGCAAGCCTAAATGGAATTCAATGGCATCGTGAGACCGAAACATTTGATTTACTGGCAAAAGGTAACCAGCACTACTCAAATCACATTTAAGCGACCTAGCTGTTGTGCAATTGAATGGAAAACGTCAGCTCTACTCATCTGCTTGTGGGAAAATTCGACTACCAGTCCTTTAGCACCTTGAACAAAATCGGGTGAATACATTTCATATTATCAATCTTTCGTCAGCTTAAATGAAATTAATGCATTCATCAATCTATCCATCTA